CTGTTTCATTATGAGACGGTCTCAGGGTCAGCATCCGGTCGTGAAGAGACGGCAAATGAGCCAGAGGTGGCAGGATATCGCTTTGCTGGCATAGAACGAGCAGGTCTGAAGAATGTTCTGATAGGCCGCCAGGACCGCACCTAAGGTGTGCTCCATAATTTTTGTTGCCTTTTTTTCTTTCCTGTAGAGTCACTTCGCGACTACAGGTTTGCTACTGAACGCCACTAGCCACAATATACGATCGTGAGGCTTTTCTCCAAAGGGCCAGAAGATGTTAATGTCAGTGGTTCATCCTCTCAGACAGGACTAGTCCACTCAAACATCTTAGTTTGATGAAAAGCTTGGTTGGCCCGGGTGGGAGTCGCTCCTAGATTTGACCCCGGGACAGTGCATGTGGCAAGAGGCACCACTTTTCACTTCCACCTACACTCGAAATACCTAAGATGCGGTGGGCGTGGCTGCGGCTTGAACTAAGTGCGGCGCTGACTGTGCTTTTGTTGACACATTTTCACTTCAACACAATTGTGGTCATGTCTTTGTGCAACACAGAACAAGATGGCAGTTGTCTCAAACTGAAATATTCCACGAGTAACCATCCTATGCCATGCTCAAATGCCACGCCTACTCCGTCTCAGGGATAAGGACAGTATGAAAGGGCATTAATATAGGAACATACCTTGCTGAATCGAGATTTGTTCCCGAGCCGAAAACACGTTCCTTGGGAAGGCCAGAGATTTTCCATGTGACATATGTAAGGACGTCCACTAAAACCAAATCCCGTTAGAACCTCATATCATGTGAACTCATAGATTTCTTGTAGTTATGGGCTCTTTTGATATGAAAAAGAGCAGCATCTGCCACCTCAGCGGGATCATGCCGATAAAAGAATTTTTAGGCAGTCACAAGATCTTACGGTTACCAAATCACAAACTTTCAAAAGTTTGAAACAAGATCAAAGACTTTGTCAAGGCGAATTCCTCACCTGGATTAGAAACCACCATAATAATTGTGTTAGGTGAATAATGAACAAGCTTAGGGACGATTCCTTTGAAGATCTCCACATTTCTTTGAACAAGGGAAAGACGGCTCTCGCCTTCTCTCTGACGAGCACCAGCCGTAATCACACAAATCTTGGAACCAGCTGTGATTGCATAGTCTGAAAAGAGGTTTGTTATGGAGAACTGTTTCATTTTGTCCGAATTTCGGGCAGACCTGTGTCAGCTTTAACAACGCAATGCCTAGTGAAAGCAAGACCATGCTGGAGATCCATCATTTCTCCCTTAAGTTTATCGGCCACCACATCCACAAGGCAGATTTCATTGGCGATGTTCTAGAAAAAAGCTCTACTAATTTGTCTCTGCTGATGTAAATATGTTATTATGAACAATACAGCTCGCCAGCTAGGACATGTAATCCCCTGATGAGAACAATTTCAAATTTAGGCTTAATACCCCAAATAGCGCGTTCCCCTCCAGCTCTTGAGTGCAGACTTTCCTTCTCAGACATCACAAGCAGCTAAGGTTTACGCACCTCCGACGTCATACTGGGTCTCACAACCCTTCATCCCAGATTCACTTGACGATACACTCACATCTGTCGCTTCCGTACAACACACCTTATTTCATGAATGCTCTTGTGCCCACGCATACGGCGCGTTCTGCGACGCAAGAGGGGGGCGAGGAGGAGCAGCGAGGGCATTCTGACCACTCTGAAGCCATTTCAGAAGCTGCTTTCATCGGACTCAAGAGCAGCGTGGCTGACGCGGTAATTCACATCGGTGGCCAGCACAAGCTTGCCCACCTTCACAAGCGCTCAACAGATCTCACACAGAACGAATTGTGAACTAGTAAAGCAGTGAACGGCTTCAAGAATACCACCCCGCGCCGACAAACAAGCACCTGGCAAGAAAATCTGTTGCTATGCAAACTGTAAGCATTAATAAAGGCATGTTACTGGAAGTGTAGCGGTGCTAGAAGCATCGGATACCATAAACATGGTACAGAAGTCATGGAACGGTCAGATCCTGTACTCAATTCAGCTAGTTCGGTCAGCTGATCGGTGCAATGCTTCTATGGTGGAAAAAAGTGCAGGCTGCATCCCGAGGGGTATGTGATGGTAGGACCACGCGGCGTCTCGCGCGACAATTGCAAACACCGTACGGTTACGATCGGCGGGATTCGCGATGCGACATTAGATTTTGCGCTATTTTTCCAACATGCCGGTCCGTCATAACTCAACACACGACCCTAAGTACAGTCTCTGAGGGTATAGTGTCCAGAAAGCATTGTGACAGTCAAAGATTAGGGATCAGCAGGTAAGCTAAATTAACTCGCGAGCAGAATCTGTGCAGGTTTCTCTGCACCATAATTGCTATGTAATCACTTTAGTTATGCAAATATAATGAAATCTAACGGTCATGACAATCCAGGTCCTAGCAGGGTAAAGAGCTTGGCTTAAAACTTTAGCGGACACCATTTATATCAGGAACTTACACTCAATTGCCAGCACGCGGTGTTGGCAGATTGCCGCGCACGCGACGTCGCCAGGTCCTAAAGACCTCTCCCATCCAGAGCAGCAGAGAAGGATTCTCCCTCTCA